ATTATTTACAATCTGTTTGAAAAACACAATTTTCCAGCTACGTTTGGGCATTTCTTAAAATACAAATACTGTGTCAAAGTAAATAAAAAAAAAAAATTAATTTAAAATAAACTATGATAAAAATTTGTATTTTAATAAATGCCAAAATGTAGAAAAATTTTCTTTGCCAACAGCTTTCTAGTAAATATTATATTTTATAGATTTTTGAAACTGTGCAAACTAAATTATACGGATATCTGGTAAATGAAAAAGGTATTTTTATAACTATTTATTCATTTAATTTTTTGAATTATTAATGTGCCACAAAATTACATGTTTTATTAAAAAATTCCGATTTCTTGGACCACTGTGTGACACCTAAGGTGAAACTTACGTTTATCACCTTCCCTTAACTTAGAATAATAAGAGATAGGAACGGGCCCATGGTAAAATTCTTGTTAATCACCTTACCCTAACGGGTAATAGAAGATGAGAGCGACAACAGCGAGGAGTATGGAATTGCGTCCACATTGCCTCATCTGCAGGAAGCTCAAGGTGAAACTTAGGTTCATCACCTTGTCCGGACGGGGAAAACGTGATCATAGCGGCTACAGCAAGAAGTATGGAATTGCGTCCATATTTATTCTTCTGCATAATGCCTGTAGTAAAACTTTCGATCGTCACGTTGTCCTAACGGGGAATAACAGAAAAGCGCGCGCGCGAGGTGGTAGTTTGGGACTGCGTCCACACTGCCACCTCTGCTTGACACACAGAAGTTCAAAAAATTATGAAATCGGAAATTTTTGAGAAAACATGCAATTAAAAAAAATTTAATTTTAAAATGAATTTAAACAAATAAGATCCCCAAAAAACTCATAAAATAGAATTGGTTTCTCAAGTTGTTTATTTTAGTTAATATTGTAAAAAATTTTTTTTTATAAGCCAAATAATATAAAAACACCCTAAAATTACCCTTTTTATTTACCGTTAAATTCAATTTGCACAGCTATACACAGCTGAGTGGTTAACAAAAATTTATAAAATATATTATTTACAATCTGTTTGAAAAACACAATTTTCCAGCTACGTTTGGGCATTTCTTAAAATACAAATACTGTGTCAGAGTAAATAAAAAAAAAAAAAATAATTTAAAATAAACTATGATAAAAATTTGTATTCGAATAAATGCCAAAATGTAGAAAAATTTTCTTTGCCAACAGCTTCCTAGTAAATATTATATTTTATAGATTTTTGAAACTGTGCAAACTAAATTATACGGATATCTGGTAAATGAAAAAGGTATTTTTATAACTATTTATTCATTTAATTTTTTGAATTATTAATGTGCCACAAAATTACATGTTTTATTAAAAAATTCCGATTTCTTGGACCACTGTGTGACACCTAAGGTGAAACTTACGTTTATCACCTTCCCCTAACGGGTAATAGAAGATGAGAGCGACCACAGCGAGGAGTATGGAATTGCGTCCACATTGCCTCATCTGCAAGAAGCTCAAGGTGAAACTTAGGTTCATCACCTTGTCCGGACGGGGAAAACGTGATCATAGCGGCTATAGCAGGAAGTATGGAATTGCGTCCATATTTATTCTTCTGCATAACGCCTGTAGTAAAACTTTCGATCGTCACGTTGTCCTAACGGGGAATAAGAGATAGGGGCGGGCCCGAGGTGAAACTTTCTTTTATTATCTTCCTAACAGGAGAAACGAGATCATAATGCCTTTAGCGGGGAGTATGGAATTGCGTCTAGAATACTTCCTGTGCAAGATGTCTGATGTAAAACTTCATTCAACACTTTGCTGTAACCGGTAATAAGTGATGGGGGCGCGCCTGAGTTGGAAATCGTCGTATATTACTTTGCTCTAACGGGGCATTTAAGATGAGAATACTTACAGCGGAGGTTATGGAAATACGTTCACATTGTCCCGTCTGCAAGTCTCCCGAAGAAATTCTTCCTTTCAACACCTTGCCCTTACGGGGAATAAGAAATGTGATCGCTTACAACGGGGAGTATGGAATTGGGTCTTCACCTTCCCCTCTGCATGGCACCCGAGTTGAAACTTTGGTTAAACTTCTTGCCCTAATGTAAAATACAAGATCCGGGTGCCTATAGGTTGGAATTCAGTCCAGACTACTCTCTCCTCATGATGCAGAGACCTCCAAAAATTATTGTTCACGTTAATTATTAAAAAAAAAAAAAAGAATATTAATTTTATAAAATTGTATGTAGTTCAGACTCCCCCCCTCCTCTTGAACATTTAATATGTAATTTTGTTTCAAATTGTTCGTGTAAATTCATATTGTTAAACAAATTTTTTTTTAAGCCATTTCGTAAGAAAAAAACTAAATATTTTGTATTGGTTTATTTTACTTATTTACTGAAATATTTAGTTTTTTGCAGCTGGCTGGCTATCAAAAATGTACAAAATATAAATTTTCTGTCATTTAGGGATAAAAAAATGTTGCTATATTTGGTAATTTTTTAAAATACAAATACTGCGTCACAGTAAATAAAAAAAAATAATTTTATGTACACAACGATAATATTAGTATTTTGAAAAATGCCAAAATGTAACAAAATTTTTTTCTCCCAACAGCTAGTAAATATTATTTTTCATAAATTACTGAAAACCAGTCAGCTTCGCATAGCTACGCAAACCAAATAAAACGGAATATAGTTAAAAAAAAAAAAAGGTTATTTTGATTTTTTCAAAAGAAAATTTGTATAACAGTATCAACTAGGGAATAAAAAAAAACTTTTTTTGTATAAAAAATAAACAAACAATTTGGCTAATTACATAAACAACTTGGATCGAAATTAAATTTTTGATGTTTAAGGGGCTTAAACTGCTCAATGATATTTTAAAATTATTTTTTTTTTTTAATTATTAATGTGATGCTAAATTACATGATTTACCAAAAATACCGAATTTTTAATTTTTTGGACCACTGTGTAACTCTTGAGGTGAAATTTTCGTTTATTACGTTGCCCTATCTGGGAATAAGAGTTGAGGGTTCCATGCAGACGAAAAGTGTGATTACAATTCCATACTACCCCTTAAAAGTGGCTATAGGTACTATGTTTTTATCATTAATTTAAATTTTAACTTTTATATATTTGTAGAATAACGGCCTTCAATACGTACAGAAACATACTATAATGTATAATCCTAATTTAATTGTAGAAAAAAAAGTCCCAACTACATTTGTTGGGACTTTTAACCACTAAAAAAAAAAAAAAACTTATGAGTTATATGTTAAGTTTTTATCACAATATTTCACATAATGTTATGATTCTTATTTTTTGTCAATGTTAATAGCTATTGTATAAAAATGTGTTTTGAAATTGCCTGAAGAGTCAATTTAATTCAAATTTTTAGGAATAAATCGTAAAAAACTAAATAATATACCTAAATTTACAAAGTACTTAAAAAATAAAAATGCGATTTATTATAATATATTAATCAAAGTCTTAAAACGAAATATAAATGATGAAAAAAGTAACATATATGGTAAAATTATATGTATATTTTTTTTAATGAAAAGGTTATACATTTTCTATACTGTACTTATAAATATTCAATATTGTGATAACTACTCTTAAGTATTTAAATAAATAAATAAATAAATAAATTAATAAATAAATAAATAAATAAATAAATAAATGAATGCGTCATCACATGGGAGAATTATGATATGTTTATTGTACTGCTGGTTGTCAACTAAAAATTCGTCGTCAGGTAATATCACTAAGCTAAAAAGTAAAACGTAACTGAATATGAAAAAATAAACGAAGGAATACATATCGAATAAATTTTACAAATTGGTCGTTTTACACAGAAAAATTAGAAATAATTTATTTTTATAGGAGAGATTATTTATAATAAGTTTTTATTAGACACACGAGTGTTAAGTCATTTAAATTATTAGATTATAATTTATTATACAAAGCGTATTGATACAAGATATTATTTTTAAAATAGATTTGAACATATACTATTAAAATTATTTTCCTTTATTTCATTGTGTATGTGTAATTCTTCTAAAACTGAATTAATATAAATGTTATTTTGGGTATTTAATATTTCTAAGTCTGTATTAATATCAAAAATAATATTATGGTTATTTTCTAAAACTTGTTTACGAAATTTGAATTTGGGGCAGTCTATTTTAATTTTATTTCAGAAATGTGTGTTTTATATTTTATTTTAAAATTTCTGTTTGTCTTACTTATATAATATTTATTACAGTTAAATTTAAGTTAAAAGAATTTTTAGTGAAGGTTTTAGTTTTATTGTTTTTACGGTTTATTAAATTATTATTAGTCTTAAAAGTGATTTTTACATTATTTGTATTATTGTTTAGAATTTAGCGAATTCGTTAGACATATTATTTTGATATTTAATACTACAATAATTATTTGGTGAGTTGTATTTTATTTTTTCTTTAATGCGTTAATGATTTTTTTTTTTTGATAGTATTTAAATTAAAATTCTTTTTATCGGCTATATTATAGATAATACTGAACTTGTGTTGATAATCATGTTTATTTAATAGAATACGTTCAAGTCTATAGAATATTGAATTAAAAATTATATTTTTTGAGAATTAAGGTGATTAGAACTATGTTATATTATAGCAAGTTTGTGTAGGTTTCCTGTAAACACTAAAATCGAGTGTAAATCGAATATTTTTAATTATTTTGTTCAAGTTAACTAAATCTTTTGCTTTTTATTTGAATCTCCATATAAAATGAAAGTATATAAAACAATATACTTTTATACATGGACTGTATATTTTTTTGTTAATAATATTATTTCATAATTGTTTTCAATGTAAATTTCAGATAAAAAAGCACTTAAAGGTCTACCCATAATAATTATTTATTTATTTATTTATTTATTTATTAATATATTGTAATAACTATATTTAATTTTTTTTTTTTTAAATATTCTAAAGAGTAAATATTTTTTAACTACTTTTAAGTGTTATTTCATTTTTTTATTAATACTTATGAATGATGCCCCTTTAGATCCCATCGTCGGTCTATTAACTCTAGTATATCGTTAATTTACACCAAACGTATTATATTTAAGTTGTTCAACCTTACTTTAATTCGAAATTATGCTCTACAAATTATGTTCACTAGAATGTCGGTGTTCGATCCACTTAATCTTTTGCAGCAGCCAGCAATCTTGATTCATTGAATTCACGTGCAAATAAATTGAAGAAGTCCAATAAAAATAAGTAAAGATTTTCGATAAAAAACTTAACCGTCGAGCAATACTTACTGCACTATAAAAAGTATAAAAAAAATAATTGTAATAAATTCGAAAAATAAATATTAAAATTTAAATACAACAAATTGAAACTGTAGTGTTATAAATATGTGTGTAACTAACGTATTATACCACGGATTTGATTAAATATGTTTATCGGTATGTATCATGCTTGGAAACGACAATAAATAACATATGTGTATTATTATTATTATTATTTATTATTTCGATGGGCAATTGCACAAACAAAAACATTTTCAGGCGAAAACAAATAATCAACGTTTTAATGAAAACTATTTACCTATAAATTTCCGTTTTCTAATTTTTTCCCTGCCTTTCCCCATTATCTGAAATACAAGGATAATAAAAAATGATGGTCCGTATATTTACTTCTATAAATACTATACCCCGCATTCGAATCAAGAATATAAACAACAGATAAATATATTTATACTAAACAAAAATTATTGTTATTATTATTTTTATGACAAAGAAATAAATAAACCAAACCACCTCCTCGACATGCCAACCAGATTCGGAATGCGACAAAAACAGTAGACTATCATTATTTTTGATCGAAGTGCGATTTCTAGGAGAAAAGTGGCTCTTGTACAAAAAAAAAAAAAAAAAAAAACACGCTTCGGTATAACCGATTTTCCTCACACCGCTCAAAATCTAAACTGCAACACTTACGAATCGACAATCTGTATTTTATTCGAGGAACGAAAAAACATACTTTCGTCGGTAGGAACGGAATTATTTCCATTTTAACAAACAAGAAAGTGTTGTTAACTTTCAAGTTGTGTGACGTAGGACGATTTTTTTCATGTCTTATTTTACATCATAGGTAGTTTAAAAAAAAAAAAAAAAAAATGTAATATCAGTACAATAGGTATGAATTTTAATAAATAATCGACCACATTTTATTTACACCTTTTTCCCCAATCTTTATTCACTCTTTTGACTTGGAAAATTTAGAACATTCTTAAAATTTATTAGACATGCAAATTGTTAGTAAATAAGTTAGGTTAGGCCTATTAATATTTGATTTCCCCACGATAATCGTTAAACCATAAATATAAATTATTCCGCGAAAAAAAAAAACAGCAAAATACCTTGGAATGCATCTAGAGTGCCGTTTAAACTGGACACACCGCGTACGCAAGAAAAAAAAATTATAGATTGAAGGAAAAAATGCGAAAGCTCCATTGGTTAGTTGGACCGCACTCCGAGTCGACTGCAGAAAACGAACGTGTGCAGGTGTGCCGTAGAAACCCTCCGTATCGTAACCTATCGAAATCTGTATTATATTATTGACAT